CAGCATGGTTGTTGCCCCCACTGCCGTCAAAGTAGCGTCGTCCACAGAGGATGGAGCCATCTGTCAGGTTGAGCCACAGGTTCTCTCTCATGTCACACTTGGAGCACTTCCAGCCACTAACCCAGGGAGAAGAGAATCAGTGGAAATGTGGGTCAGGAATATGTGGGAGTGGCAGAGAGAGAGGTCTCTCTCTCCTTTCCTCTGGCCATTCCCATGTCTTGTTCATTTCTAAGTCTCCCTTCCTATCCTGCTCCCTACGCTCTCTCCCACCAGATCCGCCAGAAGAGTAGTCTCCTTGCCCTTGCTCTGGGGGTGGTGCCCAGAGGCAGAGGGGCCAGGCCTTACCAGGGAGGGATTCGAGCAGGGTTGTCCAACTGCTTGAGGTTGAAGGCATGCTTAGACACCTGCCGTACTTCCCCATCCCAGGCCTGTACCTCCTGCTTGCGGGAGGCTGAGTCAGCCGACAGTAGGGCCTCCACGGCACTGGTCACCTGAGGAAGCAGAGGGTCAGAGGCAGTACCCAACCTCCTGCCCCACATGCCCCTCTTCCCCTCGGCCTTTGGCTTTGTCAGTGCTTGCCTAAGACATCACTACCCTGTCCCATCTTGCTCTAGAATCTTGTAGAATGCGAGGGAGTCATACCCGATCTCTGACAATGTCAGGCAGGCCCCCTAGTCCATCCCGGGCAATCTCCAGGTAATCTGGCAAAATGACAATCTTCACATCCTCATCTAATTCAAACTTCTCCTCGTTAAGGTCAAACCCGCCTTCAACACCTGGAGGTATAGGGAAGAAGAGGGAGAGTAGAGCAAGGACAATAGGTCAATGTCCCTCCTCCGATGCAGCACCTCGTTTGCCCCATCCAGAGTTCTAGGGCCACCAATCAGGCCCACTCTTTGGGGCTTTCCTGGTACTGCTGAGAGCCAGAAAGACCAGCTCAGGGAGAAGAACAGAACTGCAGTGGTGCTCACCAATAGCCAGTCGTGTGGGCTTCTTCCGGGGCGGGTCTCCAGTGCCTGTAGTAGGGTCCTCCTCTTTCTGCAATGAAGCAGGAAGGGCTGGATTAGCAATGAGCACAAGCAAAGGAACAAATGGGGAGGAGGGAGGGAAGGAGGTAGTGGTTCATCTCAGAACAGAATAAAGCTCAAACACATCTGTGCCAAGCTTTAATGACACAAACATAAGTAGGTGAAAAAAAGAAACTGAGTCCAACAGGTCAGAATGGAACAGAATGTACCCAGCCCTGTCCCTACCGGGCGCCGGGTCCGCCGGAGGTGCAAGTAGACTCGCTGGCCGGTCTTATTGAAATGTCTCTCCACATACTGTTTCCCGAAGCCCAGAAATGTGTTCATACAGATGTAGAGGCCCCCCTCAGACTCCTGCAGGACAAGAGGTAGGGGGGGAATATGAGGAGGTTGTGAAGCCTGGCCAGGTGAGGAAACCAAAACCTGGAATCAAACTGCTGGGCTCCAGAAGAAACGTTCTGTTCTCTAACACTGTGTGGCCCTTGGCAAGTTATTCAGCCTTTTAGGACCTGGGACATAGCTATGATTCTCCCCATTTCCTCCCATGACGTTGCTAACAACCAACAAGGACATCGGGGGCTGAGGAACAGCAGCTCATCTTCGCCATTCGGCAGCACCACCAGTCACCATTTCACTTTCCTCTTGCTCCTTCTTGGGCTTTGGAGCCTTTTTAGTCCATCACAGAGGACTCCTTTCACCTCTTTCCTGGGGCTAACAGATCCAGAAAGTAAATGGGGCTCAAATACCGTTGACTTCCAGTGCTGGAGGTTACATTCAAAGGGCAAAAGGGTCCCTTCCTGGAAGAGGAAAGACTTTTATATCAGACACTGAACCCAAATCAGGTACACCTAAGACAAACCCTATCTGATCTCCAAGATTTGGAAGACCTTCCAGACTGGAAGAGCACAGATTCCAGAATTGAACCAAGTATGCCAGCGATCTGGCATCTCTGATCCAAGTATGCCAGCGAGCAAAAATACCTTTCCTTTTTAAAAAAAATGTATTTTAGAGACAGGGTCTCACTCGGTCACCCAACCTGAAGTGCAGTGGCATGATCATAGCTCACTGCAGCCTCAACCTCCCAGGCTCAAGTGATCTTCCTGCCTCAGTCTCCTGAGGAGCTGGGACTACAGGTACATGCCACCAGACCTAGGTTTTTTTTTTTTAAGAGATGGGGTCTCACTGTGCTGCTTAGGCTGGTCTTTAACTTGTGGCCTCAAGCAATCCTTCCACCTTGGCCTCCCAAATGCTGGGATGACAGCAGTGAGCCTAAACATCCAGCCAAAAAGACCTTTCCTTTCCCACACTCTACCAGAGTCCACACTGTGAGTCTTCTCCCTCCTCTCCTGCTGAAGCGTGGCTCCAGGGGAACAATGACTTTTTAGGGACTCGCTACTAAATCTGCAGCCAGTCGTCTGGCAGGGTCATGAAGTTCAGCATTCTGTAGCCACCACCCTCTCTCCTCTGCCTCCTCTCTGACCATTAAGATCCCTATTCAAGTCCCAACAATCACCAATCTCAAAGTAGCCCCTTCTTAGAACAATCTCACAACACTTGCTGAGATAGCTAGAACACACATAACCTGTGAAAACAGGGACAGACGGGTGTCCACCCAGAAACACAGCTGATTAAGGAGGATGGGTTTCCCCCAAAGCTGACCAAGTTTTCCAGTGCCCTTGTAAAGAGTGATGGAGAAGGCATGATCATAGCTCACTGCAGCCTCAACCTCCCAGGCTCAAGTGATCTTCCTGCCTCAGTCTCCTGAGGAGCTGGGACTACAGGCACATGCCACCAGACCTAGGTTTTTGGAGACAGTAAGAGTCTTCTCTCAGATCCAAGCCTTCGAGCAACAGTAGGTAACCTCTTCCAGGAATAAAAGCCTCAGTGGCCTTGACTATTTATCTGCTGTGATATTAAAAACAGAGCGCTGTCTAAGGTAGTTCTTGGCCCCATAGATTGCTCGGTACCACTTCCGAGAACAGTGTGTACTGCAAGTTCATGAACAAATAGAGCATTTCTCACCAGGGAGGTCAATCAAGCTCTTTCTACCATGAACCCAATTTGAAAATAATCAAATATGCTGGAAGTTGGTTAGCAAATAACCAGGGCACATTGAAAATCTCTTGACTTGGGGTGAAAGAGGGAAAAATGTCACAAGATTACAAAAACCCTGTTTGGATTATTTAAAGCAGTTACTAAGGAGAGAGACAGGAATGAATATAAGTGTAAAGAGGGACCCACTGACTTCTCCCATCTACTGGTAATTTAAGGAAAACCTTTTCCTCCTAGGAAGAAAGTGGGAGCTCTGAAGGGATTAAACTCCTCTGTTGGAAATTAAAGATGCTGATTTCACCAAGGATTGGGAACCCTGGAGCTCTGCTCTGCGCAGTCCTCTTTTACCTCTGCCAAAGCCAGAGTTCAGAGAAGCAGCACATTGTCTGAGGTCCAGATTAAAGCCTAGCAAACCAAGCAAACCACAAATCACAGTGATGATCCTGAACTGGGCCTCACATCATGCTCTTCTACTCAGTACTGGTGATGCAGTAATGAAGGCTTTCCACTCTGACTTGCAGTTTTCAGGCCACGAGCTGGTCTGGCAGAATACCCTGGGCAGGGCCCAGCAGCTTGTAGGGAGGGGTGGTGAGGGGGGCGGATCCCAACCAAGCTGCTGCCTTCTCAGTTGGGGCCCCGGAGGGCCTCCTCGATTGAGGGTGACATAAGAAGGCAGAACTGCAGGAAGAGAGGTACCAGGTGGAGCCTGCAAAACGTGAAGCACGGTGTGGGAGGTGGCTTCGTGTAACTAGCCAAGAGTGGGAATGGGATGGAAAAGAGGCCTTAGCATCCTCCGAGAAAGAAACTACCTCTCTAGGAATACTTTAAAAGGGGTTCCCTCGGCTGTATGTGATGGGCTGGGGGGGGGGGCGGGGGAAGGGTGGGGGCTGCGGCCATTGCTCACTTCAAAGGAAAAACGACTAGAGCTTTCCTCTCCTCTTTCCTCCCCTCCCTACCACCAGTGACTCGCCTCCCCGCCCCCTGTCCATTAACCACGGGGTGGAGGCTTTCTAACCCTGCCTTTCTCTGAACCGGACTTCTTGAAGGCCCACTCCCAGACTGTTAACCGCCTAGGAACTGCGGTTCCCCACCCCCCAACTCCAACCCCGGCTGAGAACAGTGGGCAGTCGTCCCCATCACTCCCACACGAGACTACAAAACCCGAAGAGCCGTGCGCGGCAGATAAGGCCGACTGCCAGGTTTTCCTAAGGGTCCACTTGGGGGATGTAGTCCGACGGTCAGGCTGCACCGCTAGCTTAGAACGGCAACGAGGGAAGTGAGCGACTACAATGCCCACAGTGCTCCACGAGGCGGGGAGCCAGAGAGTAGAGCGCGACGGCTTCCGGGGGTGGTAGTCACACGACAGCCGCAGTTAATGAAAGGCAACGGCACTGTGGCACGTGAGAGACTACAAGTCCCATTGTGCATTGCAGGGAGGCGGTAGCCCAAGCCTTGCAGGCCCCGGCGGAATGACCAGTGCGATGGAAGGAAGTCGTGCTCGCTGCGGGCGTGGGGAATGGGCTTACCGGCGTGTCGAAGGAGAAGGCGCACTCGTCTTTGTGGACCCGGTCTCCAGCTTTAGGAACCCGGATCGTCGGTAATACTGACAGCAGCGCCTCCTCACTCAGCTCCGCCATGACACCGGCAGCAGCTTCTCCACACACCGCGGCTCGCACCGTTCCCAGTCCCCTCCCCTGCCCCTCCCGTCCAATGAACGCCACTCGTTAGAGGCATGCGCGGCGGGGACCACGCGCGAGAATGGCAGTTGGACGGAGCCTGCCTGCCGGTGCTCCGCCCCTGCCCCGCGCTTGACTGACGCCAATCAGAAGCGCTCCTTAGGCAATTGATGGTTGAAACAACCAATCCCATTCCTCCAGGGCGGTAGCGCACGTAGAGCCGCTAGGTGGCCTTCCGAATTGCCACTGCTCAGGCTCCGGGACCCCCTACAGTCCCTTCGCGTGCCTTCTACTGAAGAGCAGGAACTGACGGTTGTTTTAAAGCTCTCAATTCCAGAAAGTTTTCTGGGGACCTGTCTAGTCGGAAAGTAGAGGGGCAGTTGTCTTGGTATTTGAAAAGGGGGTATCCGACGAGGCGGAGCTTGAGGGGTTGTGTCGAGTGATTGATAAATCTGTCAACCAGTAAGGCTACTCTCTCTCGCCTCAGGAAAACCACAACTCCAGCTGGATGTGTGCATAATAGTGTAATCATGATTCTATTTTGTTTAATAAAATAATTCATTCTTGAGAGTAGAGGTCTCGAAAGCGAAGACTGGCATTCCTCAGTCTCACCACGGACAGTTTGCAGGCCTATGCTGAAGAGAAGTCCCCTTATCAAGGAGGCGTCACCCCTGGGCAAGTTCCGCGTCAGTCAATTGACCCCTACAGTCACCATGATAGACGTTCTCCCAGACCAATAGCTTCCTGGGTGGGGGCGGGTCTTACGTGGAGGGCCTATGAGAGCTACGTCGGCTGAGCCAGTAGGATCAGGGCAGGGGGCGTGGCGGGAAGTTTGAAACTTGTAACCTTGGGAGTTGAGCCACGAGCTGTTGTGCACCTAGAGGTGGAATTGGGGCCCGGTAAGTGATTTGAATAATTTCACAAATAAGTTAGCGGGCTTGGCAGGCCCAGAATAAGCCATTTGGTCAGCTGCTGCAGTCATTAACCCCGCAGAGGCCTCTGGTCTCCCGCCAGGAGCTTCCTCTACTGGAAACTGGGAAGATAGGGTGGTTTAGGGTCGGAGGTCCGACGTGGTCGGAATAAGCGCTGAGACCTGAGTCACTTCTTACAGGCATTCCCTCCTCGTCCTGGGCCGGGCCTTGCCCCCACCCTGCAACTCCTGGTTGAGATGGGCTCAGCCAAGAGCGTCCCAGTCACCCCAGCGCGACCTCCGCTGCACAACAAGCATCTGGCTCGAGTGGCGGACCCCCGTTCACCTAGTGCTGGCATCCTGCGCACTCCCATCCAGGTACTGTGGGCCAGAGTGGGAAAGGCAGAAAATGTCTGAATTCTTGGGCCTCTTCCTAACCTGATTTTGAGAGAGCTCTCATGCCCCCACCCTTATCCTGGCCTTATTTTCTGCATTCTCAATCTGTCTGGGGTAGGCTGGCTATCTGAGGGCCTTGACAATTCCTTTCTGGAATATAGGGAGGAGAGGAGAGAAGAGTCAGGGCCCAGACTTGTTCTAGCCTATGGTCCTAACAGGTGGAGAGCTCTCCACAGCCAGGCCTAGCAGCAGGGGACCAACTGGAGGATCTTAAACCTGCCCAGGACTCAGATCCCCGTTCTCCTACTCTTGGTATCGCACGGACACCTATGAAGACCAGCACTGGAGGTAAGTATTGGGCCCAGGGAATGCTAATGAAGCGGTAGGGTCCATGAAGGGTCTCCATCCTTGGACCCATCACACTCTTAACAATTTTTTTGTTCCCAGGCTGGGCGTGGTGGCTCATGCCTGTAATCCCAGCACTTTGCAAGGCCGAGGTGGTCAGATCACTTGAGCCCAGGAGTTCAAGACCAGCCTGGGCAACATGGCGAAACCCCATCTCTACAAAAAAAAAAAGCACGGTGGCATGGGCCTGTTATCCCAGCTACTCAGGAGGCTGAGGTGGGAGGATTGCTTGAGTCCAGGAAGTCAGGGCCACAGTGAGCTATGATTACACCACTGCAGTCCAGCCTAGGGGGACAGAGCAAGCCCCATCTCAAAAAAAAATCACTCCCTTTCACCTTGATTTCCTGATTTCTCTTCCCACTTGCTCACTCACCTAGGCATGAGTCCTAAGGTTCCTGTATCTTTTGTTCTTTGCTGAATGATGTGTATCAGAAGGTCACTGTTCACTTCACTTCTTTTAGACCCTCCAAGCCCACTGGTGAAAGAGCTGAGTGAAGTATTTGAAACTGAAGACTCTAAATCGAATCTTCCCCCAGAGCCTGTTCTGCCCCCGGAGGCACCTTCATCTTCTGAATTGGACTTGCCTTTGGGTACCCAGTTATCTGTTGAGGAACAGATGCCACCTTGGAACCAGACTGAGTTCTCCTCCAAACAGATGTTTTCCAAGGAGGAAGCAAGACAGCCCGCAGAAACCCCTGTGGCCAGCCAGAGCTCGGACAAGCCCTCAAGGGACCCTGAGACTCCCAGATCTTCAGGTACAGAATCTAAAGGCAAGATATAGGGAAGATAAGCAAGAATAATGTCCATGGGTGAGTGTGGGAAGAATAAAGTGTAAGCCCTAGTTTTGGGTCCTTGCTTTAATTCCTTACCCACCCCAGGTTCTATGCGCAATAGATGGAAATCAAACAGCAGCAAGGCACTGGGGAGATCCCCGCTCACCATCCTGCAGGATGACAACTCCCCTGGCACCCTGACACCACGACAGGTAAAGGAAGAGAAGGTGAAAGCTGTTAGTAGGATATCCAATGTAGTGGGTGGGAGACCTCCCCTTTTTTTTTTTTTGAGATGGAGTTTTGCCCTTATCACCTGAAGTCAGGAGTTTGACCTCAGGATGGAGTGTAATGGCGTGATCTCAGCTCACTGCAACCTCCGCGGCCCAGGTTCAAGTGATTCTCCTGCCTCAGCCTCCTGAGTAGCTAGTATTGCCCAGACTTGGGATTACAGGCATGCGCCACCATGTCTGGCTAATTTTTGTATTTTTAGTAGAGACAAGGTTTCACCATGTTGGTCAGGCTGGTCTCAAACTCCTGACCTCAGGTGATCTGCCGGCCTCAGCCTCCCAAAGTGCTGGGATTACAGGCGTCAGCCACTGCGCCCAGCTGGGAGACCCTTTTACCCAGATCTTCCCACTCCTGAACAGCAACACCTCCGCCAACTTATATACTGCCTTTTGCAGGGTAAACGGCCTTCACCCCTAAGTGGAAATGTTAGTGAACTAAAGGAAGGAGCCATTCTTGGAACTGGACGACTTCTGAAAACTGGAGGACGAGAATGGGAGCAAGGCCAAGACCATGACAAGGAAAATCAGCACTTTCCCTTAGTGGAGAGCTAGGCCCTGCATGGCCCCAGCAATGCAGTCACCCAGGGCCTGGTGATATGTGTCCTCTCACCCCTTCTTTCCCAGGGATACTGAGGAAAGGCTTGTTTTCTTAGACTCCTCCTCAACTACCAAACTAGGACTAAGAGCTTTGTTGGGCTTTCTTTGTATCTTGTGTGTTTCTTTTATATTAAAGGAAGTAATTTTAAATGATACTTTAAAAAGGTATATCTAAACCTTGCACTGAGTCTTCTGTATATAGAATGGCAGCCTAGAGAGCTTGTGTTCCCTGGTCTGAGTCCACTGGTGCTCTGAGCCTCCTCTGCATACCTCCCGTAAACCGTGGTGTCCTCATGGCCCTGTCCTTAGCCCTTTCCTCCTGCTCACCCTAGGTGTTTAGCTATCACTTCCCTACATTCTGGTAACTTCCAGGTCTCCCTGTCTAACCTGACCATAAGTTCTTCAACATCAGTTTGTCTAAAACTGAATTTATCATCTTCCCCCAAAAGCTGCTCCTCATTCCCACTTCCCTCTCCTTATGAGTGATAGCATTATCTACCCAGCCGCCAAACCCAGAGCTTGGCCATTATCTCGAATCCTTCCCTCCCAATATTCTACCTATATCCTAGCACTTGGTCGGTAAACCCTGGTGATTCCATGTTTTGTTTCTTCATTTGTTTTTTAGAAGCAGGGTCTTGTTCTGTTACCCAGGCTGGAGTGCAGTGGCACAATCACAGCTCACTGCAGCCTCAACCTTCTGAGCTCAAGCAGTCCTCCTGTCTCAGCCTCCCAAGTAGCTAGGCTTACAGGAACCACCATGCCTGGCTAATTTTTGTATTTTTTTTTAATAGAGATGGGGTCTTGCCATATTGCCCAGGCTGGTTTCAAACTCCTAGGCTCAAGTGATCCATCTGCCTCAACCTCCTAAAATGCTGGGATTACAGGCATGAGCCACCATGCCCAGCCTTCCCAGCTAATTTTTAAATTTTTGTAGATACAGGGTCTCACTATGTTTGTTGCCCAGGCTGGTCTTGAACTTCAGGCCTCAAAAGATCCTCCTGCCTCAGCCAAGGCTTTGGGATTATGGGCATGAGCTACTGTTCTGGCTGATTCCACGTCTTTCATCTCTTCCTAATTCCTCCCCCTAACCCCTCTGTCCTATCACTCTCACAGTTCTTGCAACCTGCTTCCCACCTTGTTTTCCTAGTGCCAGTCTTTCCTCCCTCCCTCTTATCAACCTACACTGCTTATCTCTGAAAGATCTGGAGCAATCTTTCTGTGAAGCATAACTGTGTTACTAGTCTGCTCAGAACTCCTCAGTGGCTTCCCATTGTCCTTAGGAAAAAGTCTGGACTCTCTGGCATGGCATTCAAGACCTTATATAATCTGATTCCTTCTCAATCTAACCCTCACATACCAGCCACACATAGGCACCACAGGCAGGCCATAGCAAACTGCTGCACACGAGGTTCCCCCAGCCACCTGCTGAATACCTTTTCCTGATCCATCTCAGACCACCTCCCATGAGCCCACAATCCTCCAGTACCCAGCCTTTATCACAGCACCTGTAACACATGACTGCCCTTAAATGGGACCTTGGTCTTTTTGGAACAGAAGGGAGTGGAAGGCAAACATCACAGATGTACCAGGGTGCTACACTTTATTGCAGGTGTTTTAGGAGAGAAAAAGGTAGAAGAAGGTGAAAGCATGAGTAAGAAGAGGGCCAGGACCCTAATGGTGCCAGAGCCATAGTCACAGGGCCAAAGCCCTGTCCCACCCAGGTCTGGACAAACGTAGTGGCTCTGGAGGGAGTCCTGGGGCCTGCTGCCAAAGACTGAAGTCTGCTATGCTTGCGAAGGGCTGGGGAGGGGCCGGTTGTCCTTGCTCATTAAGGGAGAGGCTGTGAGGACTGGGGAGGAAAGGCCATGGGAGGAGATGGGGCAGTTCTTTGCCCCTGTGTCCCTGATGCTGACTCCCAAAGGCACAGTCCCCATGCTCCCCACTGCCCTCGAAGGAGAAAGCTTAGTGGGAATGGCACCTGGAAGAGAGAACACCTGAATGTGATGGGGTCGGGGAGGGGCCGCTGAGTGTCTTCATTGCCTTTCACTTCCCTTTCTCCAGCCTCCTCAGTTCCAGACTTTGAGGAAGCTGTCCCAGGAACCTGTGGCCACAGCCATCCCATCAGCTGTAACTCCCAAGCAGCTGACCCTGTTGTCGTGGCCAGAGAGGATGCCTGAGGAAGAGGGAAAGGAGTCACCATGTCTCTCCAAGCTGATTTGGAAAGCAGTGTGTGCATGTGTGTGTGGGGGGGTGTGTGTGCAGGTGTGTGCGCGTGCGTGCTTGAGCACATGCATGCAAGGATCCTAGACTGGGTAGGCTGGGCTCAACCCTTGAGGAAGAAGGATGAGACTGAAAGAGGATTAGCTCTAGGGCAGGGGGGTCTCTGTCAAGAGCTTCAGTTGGGGGAGGGCTGGGATCAGACAGGGAAAGGCCGGAAGGATCTGTGTGCTATGAAAAAAACCAAGGGCACCTTGGAATACAAGGCAATCCATCTGATTTGTTTCCAGATGAAGAAACAGGCCCACGGAGAAGTGACTTGTCCAAGGTCACTCAGAAAGTGAGCAACAAAATTAGGATTTGGATTGTGCCCTCGGCCAGTGTTATTTTCATCAGCACCTGACCTCTTGGTAGAGAAGAAATCATCCTATCTGACCAGCTTCAGGATAGTCCTAGATGAGCCCTAGGCTGGAGTGAGGGCCCTCAGGCCACTCCAGATCTCCTTGATTCTGCCTTGATTCCATATTTCCCTGAGACTGTCTTGCCTCTCAGTAGATGCCCCTGAAATGCCGGGAACCCAGAACTGACTGGACAGAGTCCACACATCTCCTAAGGCAGGGAGCAGCCATGGCATTGGACAGTGCAGAGAGGTTGCTTAGAGCAACATTGAGGGAAGACAGTCTTAGGTTGGGAACCAAGGGGTACTGGATTCCAGGGGTAGAGTCACCCAGTGACAAGGGACAGCAATAAGAGAGTCCGAAATGGGAGCTGATGAGGGGTACAGAATAGGGAGAGTCCTTCCAGCTGAGGAAGCAGCAGCCAGGGCTGGCCCTTACCCACACGCTCGGACTTCATGGAGTCCCAGACATTGCAGTTGAAGTCATCATAGCCAGCGAATAGCAGGCGGCCGCTGAGGGAGAAGGCCACGGACGTGATGCCGCAGATGATGCTCTCATGGGAATAGCAGATCAGCTCCTGGTCTGCCCGCAGGTCAAACAAGCGGCAGGAAGCATCATCTGAGCCCGTGCAGATGGCCTCTCCATTGGGGAAGAACTGAGGGCACAGGTGGCAAGTGGGTCAGGGATTAGACAGCCTCTCCTGCCCTCTGGCTCCCACCCGACAGCTCCAGGTCAAGCCGCTGCTCTCAGCCCCCTGCCTGCCTTTCCTTGGTGTGGGCTGAGAAGCAGCCCCACCAGCACATACCATGTGGCAGTGACTTCCCTATGCCCCTCGCCTGCTCTGCACTACAGCGCTGCAGGCAGGCATCATTTCCATGTCATAGGCGAGAGTGCCAAGGCTTGCCTGCAGTGACCTGGCTAGAAGGGCAGACGGAGATTGTCCCAGACTCCTGTGGGCTGGATCAGGGTGTGCAAGAACAGGGTCCAGTACAAATGCAAGGCCTGAATCTCACTGCGAGGAGATGTCAGGTAAGCTCAAAAGGAGGGAGAGTCTACAAAAAACTAGCTTGGACTCTTCAAAAATGTCAATGACATAAAAGACAATGAAAGGTGGGAAAACAGTTCCGGTTTAAAGGTGGCGACTAAAAAGATATGGCAAGGGAATGCAATGCACGTTTCTGGATTGGATCCTGGATAGGAAAAAAACACAGCTATTTTGGACATTTGTGAGACAATTGGTGAAATTGGAATATAGACTGTAGGCTATAGTGTCAATGTTAAGTTTCCTGATTTTAAGAATCATACTGTGATGTTAAAGAAGGGCTTTGGGCCGGGCGCGGCAGCTCACGTCTATAATCCAGCACTTTGGGAGGCCAAGGCAGGTGGATCTCGAGGTTAAGAGATCGAGACCATCCTGGTCAACATGGTGAAACCAAACCCCGTCTCTACTAAACATACAAAAAATTAGCTGGGCATGGTGGCGCGTGCCTGTAATCCCAGCTACTCAGGAGGCTGAGGCTGGAGAATTGCCTGAACCCAGGAGGTGGAGGTTGCGGTGAGCCGAGATTGCGCCATTGCACTCCAGCCTGGGTAACAAGAGTGAAACTCCGTCTCAAAAAAAAAAAAAAAAAAAAAAAAAAGAAGGGCTTTGTTTTAGGAAGTACTTAAGGGGTAAAGAAGCATGACATCTACAACCTACTTTCAAAGGACCCAGAAAGAAAATGTGTGTCTACATCTGTGTGTGTGTGTGTGTGTGTGCATGTGCGCGTGTGCGTGTATCTATGGCTGTCTATTTCTCTATAGAGAGAAAATGATAAAGCAAACATGATAGAATGGGCTGGGTGCAGTGGCTCATGCCTGTAATCCCAATATTTTGGGAGGTGGAGGCAGGAGGATCACTTGAGCTCAGAAGTTTGAGCTCAGCTTGGGTGACATAGTGGGAACCCATTTCTACAAAAAGTCAAAACAGCCAAGTGTGATGGCATGCACCAGCTACTCAGGAGGCTGAGGTGGGAGGACTGCTTGAGCCCTGGAGGTTGAGGCTGCAGTGGACCACGATCGCACCACTGCTCTCCAGACTGGGTAACAGAGCGACAGAGACTCTGTCTCCAAACAAGGGAAGAAAGAAAGGGCTGGCCGGGCGCAGTGGTGCATGCCTGTAATCCCAGAACTTTGGAAGTCCGAGGTAGGTGGATCATGAGGTCAAGGGATCGAGACCACCCCGGCCAAGGTGGTGAAACCCTGTCTCTACTAAAAATACAAAAAATTAGCCGGGCATGGTGGCATGCGCCTGTAATCCCAGCTACTCAGGAGTCTGAGGCAGGAGAATCGCTTGCACCCGGGAGGTGGAGGTTGCAGTGAGCCAAGATTGCGCCACTGCACTCCAGAGCGAGACTCTGTCTCAAGAAAAAAAAGAAAGGGCTAGGGAAGCTATGGGAGGGGCAGAGGATGTGTGTTGTGTGTGTTGTGGGAAGTGTGGGGAAGGAGCTGGAGTGAAGCGGGGGTGGGGATGCACTCACACAGATGGCGTTGATGTCCGACTCGTGGCCAGTGAAAGTCTGACGGCAGGTCCCCTCTCGCACATCCCAGAGCTTGGCACTGGCATCACAAGCCCCCGAAATGAAGAGGTTGAAGTCAGGAGACACAGCCAGGCTCATGCAGTCACCCGTGTGTCCCACAAATACAGTCTTCTGCTGCCCAGTCTCAATGTCCCACAAGGCACTGCCAAGAAGGAGGGAGGGCTGTTAAAGAAAGGCCAGGCCAGGACCATTCCTGCCCCAGCACTGGCAACGTTCAGCCTCACCACGTGGTGTCGCCCGAGCTGGTCACAATATTGTTGTCATCCAAGAAGCGGCAGCAGGAGAGATAACCTGGAGGTGGTTAGAAGGACAGTGTCCTGGCTGCACAGCCACAGCCCAGGAAAAACCCAGGGTTCTCTGAACCTCTCAAGGGGAGGAGAGAGTCTCTCCCTCACCTGTGTGAGCAGAAAGCTCCCGGCTGACCTTGACATTGCCCTCACGGGATTTGAGGCTGTAGATGGAACACATGTTGTCCAGCCCCCCACATGCCACAAAGTTCCCTGATGGCGCATAGGCACAGGTCATGACCCAGGAGGAGCGCAGTGGGATGGCGTGCACCTGCAGGGAGGATGGTTTGAGCAGAGATGGGACCTGAGCTGAGCTCCCAGCTGGCAGAGGAGGGCAGGCATAGGGTCCCTAGGAAGGAGGCAGTGGTGGAGGCTTGGGAGGCAGGGCTGGTACCTTGTTGGTGGTGTAGCTGTCCCACACGATCAGCTTCCCATCTTGCGAGGCACTTACCAGCAGCCTGAGGACAGGGCATCTCATATCATGCAAGCCTCTCCTTCCTGCCATCCTCCCTCCCGCTCTCACCTTCCCACTCTCGGTTCCCCCCAACCTTCCCAAGACTCACTTGGAGTCAGTGGCCCAGTGCATGGCATAGATCTTGGCCAGGTGCCCCCTTAATGTCCGCCGTGTCCGCATCTGAACTCGTCCCACCACCTCTAGGCCAGACACCAGCTGCAAAGAGAGGGGCATTGAATATCAGGGTGAGCAGGTTACATGCCCAGAGGTTTGCCACAGCCACTGATCTATATAAGTTCCTGCTCTGTGCCAGGCTGTAGGTCAGGACCCCAGCTTTAGAGAAATAAGTCTCTGGCCTGAGTGTCTTGGACTGACGTGGGAAAGAGACGCCTGCATGGCCAGGGGTGTGTTGCTAAGTATTTAGCAAGTATCTCTCCATTGTCGGAGAGGAAGGTGGGAAGGTGATGTCTACGATATAAACATTTGCACTTTGACCAATTTCAAGCTGCCAATGTGAGGTCACTGGAAACAGATTTGGGAAGAGATGCCCACAGTTGCCTCTCCTGAGCCGAGAGGAGCCTGCTGTCACCCCCCCTACTGCAGCATGGCTAGCTTTTTAACTGGGTACCTGGGGCATCACCATGACCCTGAACTGCACCTCCTGAAATGTGTGATCCTCTGCTTGGGGGTCCGGAGTGAACAGTTTTGATTGCCATTACTTGCTTTGCTGTCTTTTTTTAAAATTAAAGACATTTTTTTTTTATTAAGACAAGATATCACTATGTTGCCCAGGCTGATCTCGAACTCCTGAGCTCAAACGATCCTTCCACATCAATCTCCCAGCGCTGGGATTACAGGCATGAACCACTGTGCCTGGCCTGCTTTGTTATCTCAGGCCAGTAACTTCACCTCCCTGATCTGTTTCCTCAAGGTGTAGAATGAGGCTTATCATAGCACCTGCCTTACAGAGACGTCATAAAAGTTAAATGAAAGGTATTCATGCAGCTTAGCCCAGTATCTGGCTCATAAAAAGTGTTCACTATTAACATATGTGATCCGATCTAAGATGCATCACTAAGAAAGAAAAGATGCTGCCAATTCTAATTGAAACGATCATCCATTGTTGAATGCATCTTGATTTCAGAGATGTCAAAATGTGAAGAAACATGCATCTTAGAATTGACAAAATACTGTATAGAAAACTAGCAACTAGAGTCTGCAAGGCCTTTATGATTGACAAGGTACTATCGCCTCTTCATCTTCAAGGCCCTGGGAGCGGGGTGTAGTGACTCATGTTCTACGGACGAGAATAGGAACTGTGCCTGCGTCTTTCGCATCCAATATGGTGCCTGGCTCAGAGCAGGTCCCACTGAATGTTGGTTAAATAAATAAACTAGCAGCTTTCCTCACTCCAAGGACATGCTGTACTAAAGCTCCGAGCAACAGGCTATTGCTGGTCAGGGAGCTCTCTTCCCCTCCCCCCCATGTCTTGCCCTCAGGGGGACAGGGGGTCTCACCTCTGCCAGAGTAACATCAGCACAGGCTTTCCTGGCATCCTGCAGGGAAAGCAGACATCAGGGGAGCAAAGGCAAGGTGGTGGTTGTGGGTGCAAGGGCCCCTGAGGCAGGTTGGGCTTGGGGCTCTGGGGTTTGGGGGTCTCAAATACGCAATCCAAGTTTGGAAAGTCTCTGGTCACTTCTACTCACTCAAGAGCAAACCCAGCCCCCTCCCTGTGGGCCACACTCCCTCCTGTCCCCAGCTCTGTTTTCTGGGGCCCCAGGGGGAGGGCTCTGGAGTTACTGCAATCTGCTTCTTGAGCTGCTCCGCTTCCTGACGAAGTTGTTCCATCTCCCCCATGGCTGACCGCTCGAGGGGTATCTCTGGCTCCTGCCAGGAACATGGGGTCGGTGTTGGGGAATCCCCGCCAGGCCGTGCTTCTGACCTTCATGCCCACACCAGACTTCAAGATGCAGGGAAGTGACTGGGTGCCGACACCACCTCCCCGGCTAGGCCCTCCAAGTTTGGAGTCCTTTGCATCCAGCCCCAGCCTGCCTTCGCCCTCCCTGGGCCCCAGCCCAGGAGAGCAGAGCCCAGGCCAGCTCCCTCTTACTTGGGCTCTGGCTGGACCTCGGCCCGGTTTCCAGCTCCGGTTCCTGGGTGCCTCCTTACTCCCTCAGCTGCGACGCCCGCGACCGCTCGTCACCTGCCCAGGCTCTGCTGCCAGAGGAGCTGGCTTGGCCTGGCCTGGCCCCGACTGGCGGGGGGGGGGGGGGTTTGGGGGGGGCCTGACAGGGAGGGGTAGGGCCAACCACAACGTCAGGCAAATGAAATCAGCTGGCAGGGGTGGGGGGGAGAGGACAGAAAGGGAGGTGTGTGGCTTCCAGAGACTTGGGCCCAGCCTAGAGGAGGGGTAGGGGCAGGAGTGCAGGGCCACAGAGAGGAGCAGCCCCCACCACAAGCCCTGAGAGAGGAGGGGTTGAAGGGGTGCCTTCCTGGTCGGTCTCTGCAGGCAGAGATAAGAGCATCAGGCCTCATGGGATCAGAGTAAAGCTGTGAGGATTAAGGGTTAGGGTTTTGGAGGGTGCAAAGGAGCAGAAGCAACTACAGCTCCAGTGCCCCCCACCGCCAGCCCCGGCCCCCATCCATGGTGATGATCTTGGCAGTCAGGGCCCACTTAGCAACCAGGCCAGGAGGTGGGATATAGGGTGATAGATGGCCCCATCATCAATATCTCAAATTGTGCTCCCTAGTTCAGGGTGCTGGGGAAGAGGGTTTGGTATGGGAGGGTGCAGGGAGGAGCTGAGATTAGAAAGGACTGATCTGGATAATCCCTCTCCTCGACAAACCCCAACCAGCTGCCTCTGGGTCTGATCCTGTGGGGGGAGAAAGGTACAGGGGACCCACAGAGAAGGATGGACAGGTCTGCCTCTGCTGTGGGTGGACAAAGGATTTCAAGTGGAAGGAAGCCCGGTGCCCTGCTCCCAGGCTGGGGTCTGGCCCCCTCCTTGGCCTCATGAGGCTTTGAAAACAGAAGCCAGAGGGGTCAGGCTGCCCTAAGTCTCAGCAAGGCTCAGAGAGGGAAGACAGGGTTAGGCTTGGAGGCCTAAGGAGCAGCTGTCAGGGGCTTGAGTCATTTGCATGAGGGGAGCAGGTGGCTGAGATTTCCCTGACAAATCACAGGCTCCACGGGCCCCGCCTGTGGGAGGCCCAAAGATACCTGTCTCCTCCCAGGCCAGCCAGAGCCACCCCCACCTCCAGCCATCACAGAATCTGTGATACACTCGACCGGCCCAACTGAGGGATCTTCACGACCTTTATTGCACAGTCTGGGAGAGGAGCAGGGTTATACCCCCAACCGCACCATCCTCTTCATTGAAAGCATCAGCCTCCTCCCCTGCCATTTCCATTCAGGGAGGCACAGTGTTCCCCATCTGTCCAGGGCTGCAGGTCCTGCAGCTGGGGCCAGTCCCGACTCCCCAGGCCTGGTGAGCTCCAGGTTAGCCTGTGCATTGTCCTCTGAGTCCAGGCCCTTGTGGGTCCCCAAGATGGTGGGGATGCAGAGACAGAGAACTTGCTGTTCTGCTCCTGATGTCACATGGGGGCTTCCTGTGAGTCCTGGCATCAAGATGGCCTTCCACAAGTCAAGTGGCCACATCCTCAAGGGGCTGGCTCAGCCACTCACAGCTCCTCCCGAACCCGAGGTGGCTTTCCAGCCTTGTCTCGAACCCCCTGGTGCCTGCGGCCAGGGGGTTCTGGGGAAGGGTCTTTGCTGGGCATTTCTTCCTCTTCCTCTTCTTCCTCCTCCTCCTCCTCTGACTCTTGCAGTAGCTCTTTGGCTTCTAGCCACTCCTGGGGTTGGGGAGGAGAGCATGGCCAGTTCCCTGCACCCACATTCCCTGGGCCAGTTCAGCCCCTGCCCCTCACCAACCATGAGCCTTCTCAGTGGCTGCCTGCCCACCCTTCACGCACCAGGAGAACCACCTCCCTTCCTACCCCACTCCTTACCTGCTCCCTGTGCTCAGGTGCCCACGTGTGCCACAGTGCCAGGGCGCAGCGCCGTCCCCGAGTCACGGCCCACACGCCATGAGGATTCTCCCCACCGGAGCTGAAGGCTACAAGGCGTCCACAGCGAGGACGCACACGAGCCTGGGGGGATGAGGGCAGGTTCAGCTACAGGGACTGGCTCTCTCAGAGAACTTGGCCCTCACTCCCTAGAGCAGGATGGGGACAGGGGCACAGAGAGGGTCAGCTCTGTTGCTATCACTTTCCACTCCTTAATTCAGGGACTAACTTGGGGCAAATGAGAAATCAGCTTCAACTTGCAGAGCAAAAATGCCAGATTGAGGCGAGAGGAGTTGGGAACCAAAGGAAAAAGGGGTCTCCACAGAGGGTCTCCTATTGGTTCCTGACCCCCGGTACCCTGATTTCCCCCACCCAGCCCTTTAAACCCAAGGTGTAAAGCAATCTGGGGGTGTGCATCCAGTACCAGACTCTATGTAGAAGGGGATACGGATCTTGGTGGCATTTTCACACCCCACACCCAGATAAAAAATCACTGCCCCTCTCCTCCTGCCCAATCCCAGCCCCTGGTATCTAGAAATTTCCCAACTAACACTCATTATTTGCATATTACTACCAGGCACTGCTTTGTTAGCTTAGGGGCATTACCTACATTACTTCCTACAATGACCCTTTAAAACAGGGACTATTATCACCCCAATTTAGGAAACTGAACCTCAGAAAGGTTAAGACTCCGAGCCCCAGTCGAGGTGGCGCTGGTATCTATGCTGCCAGCCACTGTGCTCATCTGGCTGCAAGGAGGAAGGACTATTTCAAGTTCCCCAAATCCCTGGAATGGGGCCATGGAGTCCTGGAGGCACCTGCAGGCTGTGCTTCATTCACCCTTCTCCAGGAGGTGAGTGAACACTGAAGGCAGGGTTGGCGGGGCCATTTAGAGACCTAGCTTCGGAGGAAGCACCAGGAGGGCTGGGGAGGCAGGGAAGCACAAGGGTTAAAAGCCCAGGCCATTTCCCTGCATTTGCCTCTGGAGCCTTCTGTTTTGAATCCTGACCCCACAGCTGGGTCCTCTGTCACACCATCACACCGTCACACCCCCAACTCCACGCACCGTGACAGTGAGGGCGTTGGGCTCCGTGAAGAACAGGTCCCCACCCTGGAAGTCATCGTTGAGGTAGAGGAGTCCACTGGGGAAGGAAGAAGGCAAGATGCAGTGAGACCCCAACCCAGGCCCAGACCTTTGTCTGCCCAGCTGCCTGACCCCGAGAGGAGTGCCCACCTGTAGTCCCGATAGGTGTAGGCTGGGGGCTCCCGCCAGCACTCTCCGGTGTCGGGGTCCAGGACACAGTTGTCTGCATGCACGGGGTGACTCAGGTCCATGCGCTGCTCTTGCTCTCCTAGGACACAAAGGGGTCTGGGGGTACCTCTGTGCCCCTGTGTCCATCTGCCACCCTGTGGGCTCATGCCATGCACATTCACCCTGGGGCTCTTGGGGGCAGTGTCCTGGGGGCAGGGCCTGAGGTTGGAGAGGAGCAGCGGGGGTCCCTGTCATACCTTCTATGGCACTACGGCACACCAGGTGGGTGAAGGACAGATGCAGGGGCCGTTCCGGGGAGAAGTAGGCCTGGGTCAAGGTCCGCACCCGCTCGCTCACCTCCAGAAGCAGCTTAGCACCCTGACTGCCTACCGTCCCAGACCGAGCCATCTGCAGGCAGCAAAAGGCAGGGCAGACACGGAGGAAGGCAATGGGAGGGTGGTCTTGGCCCTCACCCTACCCATCTCCGCTGCTCTCCACTGGTGGCTTTGGAGTCTCAACATCCAGCTCTGTTCATCAGCCCAAACTGCTCCTTCTATCTCTCCAGGCCAACAAGCTGGGCCCCAGCTCTCAGAACATCCCTTTTCTCCACTCTGGGCTAGGACTCAGGTAGCCTCAGTCCCAAAAAACCTCACTGGGTCCCTGGGGCCCGGCTTCCTGCACAGCGTCTCCTCCAGGTCTGGGCATCAGACAGGCCCCGGGTGCCTCCTCTCACCTGTGCAGCCTTAAGCACTGTGAGCCCCTCGAAGCGTTCATGGGGGGTGTGAGGGGAGCGGCGACCACGATAGCCAGACCTGGCTCCAGCCCCAGCTGCATCCTAAATTGGGAGGAGTTCACGGAGGAGTCACTCCGCTAACCCCTCACAGTCGCAGGCCCGCAAGACCCTCCCCCCTCCCGCCCTCCCACTCTCCCGAAGTAGCCAGACGCTCCCACAGTTCTGCTGTGGCTCCTCTTCCTGAGCTGCTGCCCTTTCTCAGAGCGTGCCCATCACCACGGCTGCCCGACTGTCCCTCTCTAGTACAGGTTGGAATCCCGATTACGAAGGGGACTGTGGACAGAATTCAGGAGAGCTCCCGATAGCAGTAAGGGGGCGTCTGAGAGCGTAGGGACAGCTGGGAAAGTGGGGCAGAGCTGGGAACTAGGCAGGAAGGGCTTGATCATTAATCCCTGATGAGCCAAGAATAGAGGAGTCTCTCTGGAAACAGGACCCTAACAGGAAGTTCCACAGTTAGGCCAGGTCCCGGCAGGAAGCTGACTGGTGGCAGGGAGACAGCATCAGCGGGCTATCCCTCTCTGACCTCTTCCCACCTGACATTCTCTCGGAGAAACTGTGGACTCGGTGGCTCCACCACTCCTTGATACTGAGTCACAATTACCCAGTCACCTATGGAACTGTTCTTACTATATGGGGGTCTCCTAATATTTGGATGTCTACACTGGAATCATTTCCTTTTCTGACACCCATTTTTTTCTTTCTTTTTTCCTACTATGTAAAGCGTATCTGAGCAGAGTGACACCCATTTTTTTCTTTCTTTTTTTCCTACTATGTAAAGTGTATCTGAGCACAGTGACACCCATTTTTTTCTTTCTTTTTTCCTACTATGTAAAGTGTATCTGAGCAGAGTGACACCCATTTTTTTCTTTCTTTTTTCCTACTATGTAAAGCGTATCTGAGCAGAGTGACACCCTTTTTGGTCCACTTTCTGAATCTGTTTAAGCACCACTCACTAGTTATCTCTGCATATAAATCTCACTTCCGAGAGACCACCTAATCACCCAAGCCATCTAACGTGTTTTTGTTTGTTTGTTTGCTTGTTTTGAGGCAGGGTTTGACTCTTGTTGCCCAGGCTGGAGTGCAATGGCGTGATCTCGGCTCACTGCAACCTCCACCTCCTCCCAGGTTCAAGCGATTCTCATGCCTCAGCCCCCCCACCC